AGCAGAACACAAAACCTTTAACTGATCAAATCATCCATTGCAATTGCTTATTTTTCTCTGTATAGCCAAATGTATGGTAGAACAATAAAACTTAAAATATGTGTACTTCAGACATGAAATATGCTAAAATTGTGTAAATGCATGTCTGCCGGGGGTTAAACCGAATGAACAGGCAAACACGAATGGGCCAAAAACGTGATGTGTAGTATATCTTTATACAGATAAAGAGATATTTGAATGTACAAGTATAATGCTTGCATGTTTACCATGTTCTGTACGTTCACTGACGATATTATCAGTTTGCAATTGACGTATTAATAAATATATATTATATATTCCTTTTAAATACCATAATACTTGTTTAAAGAACTTGTTTAAATGAGATGACACGGATTTTTTTTAGACTTTCAATACATGTGCCTTTTTAATGTATATGTTCTGACTCATCATAATGCCTACAACTCCAAACCCGTACGGTAAATTTTGCTTAAATTTTGCATACAGGTGTCCTTTAGGTATACCACTCAACAATGTTGTCAATTTTACAATCCCTTACAGTGCAAATTATAGTGGATATAATTTAAATGATAATTTACAAATATATTGTAATTTGCTCAATATTTACAAACCAATATCTTAAAACAACCATATAATGAAGTGAAATCGTAGACTATCGTCTTTATGATTTTAAAACATCATTTTTTGAAACTTAACCTATTGTAACCTAGTATATATCAATAACTCGAAAAAAATCAGTATAAGACGTTTCAAAGCGTATTTATATTAAATCTATTCTCAAAATTAAATCGTTCAACTCGGTTCACAGTTGTAGTGCTGAATCAGCGTCCCATGGCATCTGTAGGTCTAGGTTCAGAAGGGGTGCTAATTCTACTAATTCCTCACATTGTCTTTTGGGGCGTGAATACATGTTCTTTGAAAACATATACGCCTCTCAAGTTAACTGCATTGCCGAAGTCGTGAGTTTCATACAGACCTGGTTTAGGTTTACCACAAATAACAGAAGAACTGGTTTGTTGCCTTATTTCATGTGCAATCCGGTCTAACTCGGTTTGTATGAGGTCCATGGACCAAAATTTTAAGTTCTCACATTGTATCGGGTCCAGATCATTAAATACACATGTATCGCGTAAGTCTTTGAAAAAAACTAATTCACCAATAGATTCCATTTTGTCGTAATGTACACCACCACTTCTCAATGCGTTGGTTAGATGTGCTTTTTCCAACTACAACGCTTCGAGTACCAGAACTCGGATCTGTAGAATCGTGTCTGAAGTATTGCTTCAATAGTAAAGCAATGCAGTTTTCCGTACCAATATCATAACGTATATAGTATTGGGTTGGGGGACTTAATAATGTTCATTAAATGTGTCTAAAAGTATCTTGCAATAAGGTGTGGGTCGTTATTTGAGTCCGAAACCTCTAACCATATTTTTATTTCTACAGCACTATGGATACAAAATCATTTTGGTTTTAGTTTGTCTTAACCGTCCATATGTCATATTAAACTAGTCCTTTGGCGTAGTATACGCGTCGGCAGAAGCGATGAGCTTTCCGCGACTCATTACCATCTGGATCAAGCGCTCTCATTATTTCCATGACGTCGTCCCCCTTGACGTACATGTTGTAATCCAGCATTAACCTACGCCACATTGTACGGTATCCTATGCATTGTCCACTTGTTTGTATTTCTCTGTTTATAACATCAGACACAGTCTCAAAAGGATTATATATTCCATTATGCCGTTTTAAATTTAAGCGTTTAAAACATTCTGTTCTCTGTACTAAATGACGTCGTAATGCCATACCGTACCAGAAAGTACTCTATTATCAGCAGAGTTTTGTTTGTTATAGATGTTGAGGGTAGGTATCTTGGCACGGTAGCTTTGGTAATGCCGAACAGTATAATGATGAAGACACAGATCAACATCAAGGTTTTCATCCTCGTTACCTTTGTCCAGTAGTTGTGTCTGAAATAAGAATTTATCTTTTATCTTAATCTTTATACATTCATAGTATATACAAGAGCGATCAGTAATCACATGTGTCGCCTCATGATGGCCAATTTCATGTTGGGACAAATTTTGTGACAGACGGACAGTGCACAACTAGACTTGGTACTGATCATTCCTGTAAAGTTTGGATAAAATTGCACCAGTAGTTTATGAGGAGTAGTCCGGACAAGCTTTTGCGTATCTGGCAACACACAGAAAAAAACACCTTTTTATCAAAGGGCCATAACTCAGCCAAAAATCATTCAACCGGAAAACCCGTGCAATATGCACAAGGACTTGAGCTACAGATCAATCCTGTAAAGTTTCATTGAAATTGCATTAGTGGTATAAGAGAAGTAGTCCGGACAAACTTTAAAATTAAAAATTATTAAAGGGCCATAACTTTGGCCATAACAAAAATCATTGAACCGGAAAATGCTGACAATATGCACAACTAGACTTGGTACTGATCATTCCTGTAAAGTTTGGATGAAATTGCACCTGTAGTTTATGAGGAGTAGTCCGGACAAGCTTTTGTGTATCTGCTGGCAACACACAGAAAAAGAAACCTTTTTATCAAAGGGCCATTACTCAGCCAAAAATCATTCAACCGGAAAACCCTTGCAATATGCCCAAGGACTTGAGCTACAGATCAATCCTGTAAAGTTTCATAGAAATTGCACTAGTGGTATAAGAGAAGTAGTCCGGACAAACTTTAAAATTAAAAATTATTAAAGGGCCATAACTCTGACAAAAATCATTGAACCGGAAAATGCTGACAATATGCACAACTAGACTTGGTAATGATCATTCCTGTAAAGTTTGGATGAAATTGCACCAGTAGTTTATGAGGAGTAGTCCGGACAAATTTTGTGACGGACGGACGGACAGACGGACAGACAGACAGACGACGGAGAAGTGATCCCTATATGTCGCCACTACTCCGTAGAGGCGACACAAAAATGGGTAAATCTCTTAGCTACGTCTTTTAAAGATTGATAGGTGCGAAAAAAAATATAACATTTAAAATGCTAGTAGGATATTTTGTTCTAACTGGTCCTATATCTATGTTTGTTCTTAAGTGTTCTTTTCTCAATTGTTAAAATATACAACAAAATTAGACATTAAAGGAACTCCACTGAGGTTATTAAGCCTAAAAACATAAAATTTTAATTTTTCGCATAGATCAACACAAGCACTTAAAACAGAAATATAAATAAAATATAACTAAGAAATATACATGAAATACATTGAAAATCGTATGTTTGTGCTATTCTCTGTCCGATTTGAGTGAAAAGCGTTTAAACGCTTTTCAATTTTGGGTCATTTTTCACTATTATAATAATTATTATGGAAAAACGGAGCGAGTTAATGATCTGAAATGTTGCACATAAGTTATTAGTATAGATCTACATCAAATAGAGTAATAATCTCAAAAAATATATTTCCAGTCCCGTCATGTCAAAAAACTTCAGTGGAGTCCCTTAAATTTAATGCTAAATGCAAATGGTGCTCGATCACAATTATAAGTTAATTTGTACTTGTGTGTATGAACATAGCACTTGCCGTTCTTTATGAAATTGGTCAACACTAAGTACTTCAGAGAAATACCGATTCTGTGTTAGCTCAATAAAATGCTGAATTGCGATACATGTTTAATACTGTGCACCATGCCATTTTAAGACGTAAAACTTGTATTCCCTGTCTACTTGTAAAACAGTTATTTGTTTGTTACTCATGGACAGATTTTGTGATAAGGACAAACAATGTATAAGCACTAATGTAATGAACATATTTATAACATAGCAGAATGCACAAAACACACAGTCACACTTGTGGAATTAAAGTCTGTGATATATTACCACTATGGGATTATATCAAATAACATTAAATTCCCTCCTTAACACATCCTCTCCTCCATGACAAATCTCAATGAAATTATTTAAAACGTTTAAGAAACATACCTGAAACTTAAGTTGCTGCTTTCAGCTTCTAAAGAACGTGTAAAATGAGTTAGCCAAAAGTCATAAGACGTAAGTCACAAATCAAAAGTCAAAAGTCGAAAGTCAAAAGTAAAACATTCGTAAGTCGAAACTCAAAATTGACCCTCCAAGGCTTCCATAGGTTTGTGACAAAAACGCGCATGCTAAAATTTAGCACGTGTTTACCGGATGTTACATGACTACAGCGAGTCATGGTAAAATGTGCTTTAAAAAGGAAAAAAATATATGACCTTTGTCTGTGTCCTACCTTGAATATATAACTCTGTCAAAATATAACATATTGTAACGTGACACGCACATGCTAAGTAACATTTGTTCGCGGTAGAACTAAAATTTTCAATTTTGTCGAACTCACACGGACGAACGTTTATAAATGGACATAGCCTCATTGACTTCGATCACTTTACATCCTGTTTATGCCATGTTTATGTTTCAATATTTGAGCCGAGTCGAGATATGGGACATAATATGCAATCTACGGAATCAATGGGATGCCACCGTCGCAATTACGGTTTATTGCGCTAAAATCGTTGAAAATGATGCAGTTTATGCTGTTAAACTTAGAAGTCACCTGAAATTTTAATATATCTTAAATCAAAACAGATATTACATAAAATGAATAATACCTTACAAAAAATGGGTCATACTGTTGATATTATTATTAATTTTCCTGCTCCTAACCACATTAGAAAGGTTCATTTTTATGATATCTTGTATTTTCACAAAAACTAAAATGTTTGATTGTTGGAAAATGTAAGATGCAAAAATAAAACATAACATTTGCATTCAAGTGTTTGAGTAAAGCTTGTAAAGCTATAAAACGATTTCAAATATTGATGTTAACATTTATCATTGGGATAATTAAAATGCAACTTAATATTCCATTCGGACTTGGATTCTTTTCAAGGATGGTAAAATAATCATAAATCAGTGAAGAGTATTTTGTATAGGTACAGGTGTTAACATATATCAGAAATTCCCGCGTGCAAACCAGACGCCACATGATAACTGTGCTTTCAGAAACATACATCTGTCACACTGGGATGTAATGAATTACACAGGCGCGCGAGGAACGCACGTACTCTTCATCAACTGGAGATTCCATAGACGTCAAGTTTCAGAGAAAATGTGCGCATGGAACAGCATAGAAAGTTCAAAGACAGATAATCGTAATACTATAGTTTTGTGGGGAAAAGTGTAATGTTATATTGGATATTGTTTAAAATCTACAATAAGTTATCTAAATATTATTTTATAATTTGATCAGGGAAAAAACTGGGAAAAAATCATTCTCCTAACAACACAGAATTAAAGCTAAACAATATGAGATTGGCAAGGTAAGATTTATTAATTTTACGTAGGAATGTAACATGTTTAACATAAATTATAACTATACCGCGTGTCACTGAGACATTGACAAGTTGTTATAAAGTTATCCTTATCAGATAATATTGTCACTTGTGATCGTTAGCGACGCACAAAATAACTTTTCATATCATTTAAGCTGATTTACTTTATTCAAGTTAAACCCTATGTATATATGCACCGCTATTTGATCAAGATTTTTTTTGTATACAATCTTTATCAAATATCTGCAAATAAGTTTGATAAGTAATAAAGGAAAAGAAAATGAATCCTTTTTTTAAAACTAGCAGTTTATCTAAAGCATTTAAAAAAAAAAGATATGCATTTTAACGCAATATTCTATGTATACATCTATTTAAAATTCTACGTTTTCCATTAGGGTTGAACACTAATATTCTTTAAACCTGATTTTATAGAAATAACTTTAGATAAATATTTCGGTATGACCTACGAGTTATAGCATAAACGTTAAGTTCAGTGAAGGATTCATCTTAATGTAAGATGTTTTCAAGATAAGGTGAACGATCAGCGATAAACAAAACAGTGTGCGAGCATCTGGTTTCAAGAAATACCTCATAACTTCCTATCAGGTACACCTAGGCTCAATCCAACAACTTCTCTTTTTTTACTGTAGAAAAAAAAATTATGAGGGGAAATCAATTTTATAAAAGCTGGAAGTTTCTATATATAACGAGCGGAAATCAATCTTATAAAAAATGGAACTTTCTATCTTTTATTCCGACGTAGGTTGGCCAATTTGAGCAATTTATACAGAGACGTTCCTTAAATTACACGTGCAGATCGGGTTGTGCAAAACGTACTCAATTCAATTGTTTATTGTGAATGCTATAAAATGAATCTTTAAATTTTACTGAATAAGTAACACATCAAAATGATTTAACAAGATTTATATATCACTACACCTCCATTCCAGCTTTTATTTTTGTTTGTTTATTTAAATATTCTAATTACATCGTTAAATAACATGGACGCATACATGAATATACATATATTTTGACACATTGTATTATGCCGGTGTGAGAATTGTTACATACTTTTCGTAAACAACATGGATTCTACAGTGGGCAATCTGAATGCCTAAACTTACCTTAAAATATTATGAATTGAAATATATTTCAAATAAGTTGTAAATTCAACTAAACGTACTAGAATAGTTTTAAATTGTTTCGCAGATTCTTAGTCCTATAAGTCGTTTTGAGATATTTTTGCTTCAACGTCATATCGAAATTACTCAAAAACCCATAGCACGCTCCGCAAGAAAATCAAGCGGAACGAAAAATCACTTGAATCACTGTATAATTACATTGATTTTAACCTATTTATGAACAAAAGTGAAAAAATAAATACCTTTCAACAAAATAATCAAACTGTCACATCCGGAAAATCATGATTTAATCCTCTTATTTAATTAAATTCATTATACGCCGATAAACAAATGGCCGTTGCAAAGTGCGCGAAATCGGATTGACTAATTCAAATGCAAGCGTTTAAATGAGTCAGAAGTTTCAAACGAAATATTTTTGAACGAAATATTTGCCCATGCATCGCCAACGTGTATGAATATATTTTTCAGTTCAAAAGTTTGGAATCAATCTGTAAAGCACTTTACTTGACCAGTATGGCCGATAAGGCAAAAATAGATTGATGTTTGTATTTTATTTAACATTGATAACTACATTGTTTGAGAGTTTTTTATTAATGATTGAGCATGATTTTGAAAACAATTAATAAACTTTTGAATAAAGCATGAAGGGCCTGAAAATAGACAATTTAAAAAAAAAATTATGATGCTGTGCGTTTATGAGGAATAACTATTAGACGTCGGGTTTGACCGACATAAACTATTACAAGCCCGTAACGTATGATTCTTTACCAACAATTGGAAACCTCCAGTTATTTTATTAGATTATTAAGAAAGAGTGAAACATTTTGCTTAGGTTCTTAACCTTAATTGGAATTCGTTCGTCTTATCATATTTTAAAACTCTTTTTATCATCGTCTTTAGCAGGGGTTGACATTTCATGCCCTACACAAATTGCAAGCACGTTTTTATCCCGATAATCGATCAAAGTAAAAACGCATAACCTTGTTTCTGATACATTTATAATAGAAACTTAACAGTTTACAGTTTTAAATAATATCTTCTCCTATTTTAGGGTAACTAAATGTATGTTTTTTTCTTATCAGGTTTACAAAGAGATGTGTTGTGCTTGTGATTGTCGGTGTATTGTCAGTACACTTACTTTGGTACTTCAGTAAGTATTTTATATATATTCAGGGGGCAATACACAGTTTTCAAGGCTTCTCGGCAAACAACTGACTGCGTTTCAATCGAAACCTAACACACAAATCTGTAATCACACACCTATAATGCATGTCATATTTAACATATACATATGTATATCACAATACAGTTAAAAATACATGTCCACCTTCTAGTTTTCTGGTACATAGCCCTGGGTTTTCATTGTTTTGATCGCAAAAATAACTATCGCTACAAAAAATGTGATTAATTTCCAAATAACAAAAGTATAAGTCCAAAATAAATCAAGATAATGTCTTTCTCTAATATGCCGTCTAAATATTCCATTTATTGAAGTTCAGCGTAAATGAAGTTTATTGAGTCTAGTTGTTACTTACCATATAATATTGTCAATTTTTATTCTATAAAGAAATAGTCCCAAAAGATAAATCATAATACTCACTAAAATATCTAACTTTTCATATTTATTATGTACATTCAGTTGCATTGACTATACAAGGGTAAACATTACTGAAGCTGGGGCATATCGGAAGTTCATGTCATGCCCAAGGTTGAATATATATTAACTTATGCATGCATCTTATTAAGTGCGCCTGACGCTGCTTCGAAAATCTCATTTTATTGTGGTATGGTGTCCTAACTAAATGCTACGTCAGTGTTGAATTACGCATTCCGATTCCACTTACTTACGATCATTTGCAAATGTATAACATGATTTTTTTCATTGAAAATCGTCCGTTTTGATAGTCTTTATAACCCTAGTTACATATACATATTATCTGTCGTCTGTTGCAAAGAGTCCGATCATGTTGATAAAGTCTAATTACCTTAAAGCACACCAACTATCGCCATTTTTCACAAACTCATTTTACTGGTTATGTACTTTTTAGCTCGACTATTCGATAAGAATAAGTAGAGCTAGTGAAGTCACCCGATCGTCGGCGTAACCACTTATGTTAAGCTTTTGTATTACCTCAAATATTTTCAAAGCCCATTGACATATGACTTTGAAACTTTGCACACTTGTTCACCATCATGATCCCAACTTGTAGGCAAAAGAAGGTAACTCTATCAAGTATTTTGACAGAATTACGCCCGTTTTTTCGACTTAGAATTTTCGTTAAAGTTTTAGTAATACCTCAAATATTTTCAAAGTCCATTGACACATGGCTTTGAAACTTTGCACACTTTTTCACCATTATAATCTCAACCTGTAGAAAGGAGGAGGTAACTCTATCAAGCATTTTGATAGAATTATGCCACTTTCTCAACTTAAAATTTCGTTAAAGCTTTTGTATTACCTCAAATATTTTCAAAGTCCATTGACATACGGCTTTGAAACTTTGCACATTTGTTCATTGTTCATTATCATGACCCCAACCTATAGACAGGAGAGGTAACTGTATCAAGTATATTGACAGAATTATGCGCAGAAATTTCGTTAATGTTTTTGTAATACTTCACATATTTTCAAAGTCCATTGACATATGGCTTTGAAACAAGTTGAAATTTTATAATCTTCCTTGAGAGCATAATTGTACTCTCTCCAAGGTCTATAACTGTAACATGGATTTAAAGAAAACATTTGCCCTTTTGTTAACTTAGAAAATTTTACATTATCAAGGCTTTTTTACTATCAAACACTAAGAATAGTCGAGTGTTGTTGTCCTACCGACAACTTTTGTTTTACTTCCGAGTTTATAAGCTATTTCCATCGGATGTACTCTCCTATCTGATACATGCATATGAATAAGCACCTTCGAGCTTCTTCTATTAGTATGACTATATGACCTTAACGGTGTCGGTGTGACTTGAAGCCATTTTCATGTTCTACTTAAACCAGTACCAGAGTGTGCGGGTAGCAGCTTGCACTCTTCTTCTACTGTTTATAAACAGACTCAATAAAACCAAGCCTGCGCAAATTTTACTGTGATGGGCGTTCTTTAAATTTTCAATTTTATCTATTTTATATTGGTTTAGCAGAGAAAAATGAAACATAATTAATCATTCGTTTATGTCCTTTTACATTTAATGCACATCTTAATGGATATAATCAAGGGAACAGTAAAATCAGGGGTATAGATCCATGTATATTTACATCTTGTCAGAAAATGAAATAAATATTTCAAATTAAAATGTACTATACAGACAAGTTTATGATGACATTTCAGCTTCTGAAACGAACACGAGAAACTTGCAATCTGTGAAAGTATTTCAAAGAAAAAACAGGACAGTTACTGCCTTACGCCGACGTAAAATTGATGTACCTATACTACTGTGGTGGGATTCCGTGTATACAGATGTAGATGAAATAAGAAATTGTGGAGAAAATAAATGCCGATTGACAAATAATAGACAGTTTCAAAATCATTTCAACACATCTGTAAGTCTTACAATAAATCATGAATAAATATGCTAGTAGTCTGCCATAACTTTGATCATACAATGTATATATTTAAAGCGATTTTTTTCTAAATAATTTCGATAAGAAGCAATATCAATGAATAGAAGATAATCGTTAACGTTTTTCAACCGTGTTCAGGTTAGATTTATCTCCCATGATAATTTTATTGATGTAAATGTGGTTAACTGACAGAAAAAGTTTTTCTTATCGCCTTTCAGGCATTTTTGTTTTATGGCTCAAACTTCAAACCATACGAGTTGCCGCTGCCACGAAAACCACATCACATATGGGCTTTGATGCACGAGGAATCACCAAGAAATGCATACATCCTACTCCACGAGCCAGCTTTATCTATCTTCAATTTTACATCAACTTATAGCATGCAATCTGATTATCCAATAACAACGCAGTGGTTACAATGTTCTGACTGGCTACAAGATACGAAATATGTCCTACCATTGGTTGATAAAAATAGATTACGAAATCTTGGTTTGGCGCCTATTCTGTATCTTCAAAGTGACTGTGATGTTCCAACAGATAGAGACAGTTTTGTAAAACTTTTGCAAAAGTATATACCCGTGGACTCGTATGGGACATGTTTACAAAATAAGAAAATGGCTCGAAGGTAATGCAATTTGTTCCTTATGATAAGATGTTTGATATCTGTTTCTAAATGTTTGTTTCGTTGTAGTAAATCTTTAGTTGTCTACTCTTCAAGTAATTTGATAGCGGCCCTAAACAATTAGTTTCCTTTACAAGACCCTGCATTAGTTGTATTTCTATACGTACAAATTGTCATATTGTCATATTTATATACACGAAGTCTAGCAAAAGAAACATGCCTTAAGTCTTTTTATTATTATTATATATTAGAGTTAATATTTGTAGCTTGATTATTTGAATACCGACATAAATAAGCAATCAACGACACAACATATGTTACAATACCTGCAACATTTCGGTAATCTTCGTTGGCTTTTACTCCTTTTACTTCTGTTGTAATATACAATGTCTTATTGCAATAAATTATGTTTGATTTCAGATTGAGATTTCAGGACAACATGGCTCCGCTTGACGACCACGAATTCTTCCGGTTTGCAGCCCGTTATAAGTTCACTTTAGCCATGGAGAACTATGTGTGTGAAGATTATATTACAGAGAAGTTATGGAGACCTTTACGCATTGGTTCTATACCGATAGTGTTTGGTGCCCCTAATGTCAGGGTATGTTTTGCAAGTATTACACACATGATTTAAGTATTATAGAAAGAACCAGGATAAATGATTCTTGTTGAACGTTGAATTTCTGATTTGATTTTTTCATTGTGTATGTTATAATTAGAAGATGCAACAATTGCTGAAGGACTTTTTAAATACATAACACTTCTTGATACAACAATTATATTTACATTTCGGCGACATTTCACATGAATCATTTCACTTTATGTATTATTAAAGAATATTTCTTTTCATTAAGAGATTCTTGTTTCATGAACATTTTCTTTTTCAGCAGAAAGTTTAAAATATTTTTATGTGATACTAACTGAGACGATATTACAATTTTTGTTGTTGATTTTATTTTCATAGAAATGTTTTAATGAAAATAAATAAATAAATAAATAAATGAATGAATGAATGAATAAATAAAAAATAAATAAATAAATAAATAAATAAATAAATAAAAACAAGTAAGAAATGCACACACATTAATCTACAGTTGTAAATTGATCATATATACTCGTACTTTTCAATAACTTCATATCTTTATAAATCCAAATCTCTCTGGAGCACAGAGTTTATTCCTTTTATTGGTACAAAGGCTAGTAGAATGAAATCAAGTTTCTTTCTCTCTTTGATTCTAATAATTATATACTCATAGACACCCTATTACCTGCTTTGACGTCATGGTGCTTATGTTGGTCGAATTAAATTATACGAATTTTCTGCCCTGGGCTCCAATCTAATAATTGGTCACGTGACACTAACATGCTGAAACCGTTGTTAGATGTGTTACAACTTGTATTTAATCTGATATCTATATTTAACTATTTTACATGTATATAATTGGACAGGCCATGGTTTAGTAATATTCAAGAACAGTGGTGGTTAAAAAGTAAGAGGTCCAGCGGTTTTTTTTTTCTACAGTAATAAGCCAAAAACAATACAAAAGAAAAAAGTATGCATGGCTGTCTAAAATAGAAAAACAATTTTAAGAACTGGAATGCAAATTAGAGACTCCAGTTAAACAATACTCCATATGTCAAATTCAAATAGTTACACATATCTGGCAGGCATTTCCTCATAGCTTTTACAACTTTTTTATAATCCTTTATTGTTTTGAAGAGTTCTTAAAGTCTTATTAGATGTCCTATTCTTGATACTATGGGCCTGTTTTATTGGAAGTTATTATACAGGCGGTTACTTTCTGGTAAAGATAAAAAAAATTCTACATATATACATATATATAAAATATAAAGTTTTCTCCCTGCAAGAAACCTTTTAGCATGATGTGTCACGATCATTTCTTTTAGTATAATTAATTAGAATACGTTTGTCACTGTTTAAAGACACGCTAAGTGTTAGCGTTACACGTTAGCGTCCATGAAAAAAAAATGATTCTTTTTCACTTTGAAAAGTTTTTATTTTGTTATGTGAGTAAAAGAATATTTAAATTATTAAATATGTTAATTGTATCATGTAACAAGAAACATAACTTGTTTACGTTACTTAATAAAGAATCTTGAATCTTGAATCTTGAATCTTTAAAAGATATTGTATGCGTGTAGGCTCATTATGTAATAGAAACAGCATCGAAACACGAGGCTATCTGATTTGTAAGAGGGGGTGTAGCCTTCGAGTATTAATCAGATTGCCAAGTGTTTTGATGTTCTTTCTCTTTGTATTATAGTCAAACATAAAAAAACATGTTCCCTGTTGTCACAATATGAAACCCCGGAGAAAAGTAACCAATGAACGAGCATCTAAATATCATATTTCTGTCGCTTTCCCTTTCTCTCCCGTCACAATAAGTAAACCCCAGCAAAAATGAGCCAATCAATGGGCATTCTCTGGAGTGCGGGTAACTAATACCTGCACTCCAGTTTACGCACGGTGCATGTATATTTATACGATTTAACTCGGACACATTTTCAACAGAAAGGTCCCCAAACTATGACACAATAAATTTATTGAGCCCGTTCAGTAAAGTGAAATATTGCTCGCCTGGGGCTCGGAAAACGTAATTCTATCCAACTCGTTTTATAAATTCAGAATTGAACTGATTCTCATTCAATATCCTCTATTTATCGTCAAACGCACTGACTTGTCCAATATTGTAAAACGGTTCAGCCTCAAATATGAGCATACATTGCATGGTCACATAATACAATAATTATAACATTAGCTATTTGATGTTAATAACTTTCAATATAGACACGTAGTTTATAATAGAGATACTATATAAATATATATAATTTATTCTTATTTATTCATGTACATCTATATGAAACAATACTGCAACAGCATACATTTCTGAAAGAAATTCCAAAAGAAACATTCTATATTAATTCATTCATTACGCGTACTTAAATTTACAGCAAAATACACCATAACATACCCCAAATGTCATTTTGTTTACATCTCGTATAAATATCACTCCCCATTTTATCAAGATGGATTAATCTAAATAGGGAATATATGAATTATTTCTATGATAATACTTCACGTGATTTATTTTCCTCTTTTAGATCCGGATTGATGCTTTAAGGACTTACGAGCGTAAATTGTTTACATAATTTTTCATTTCAGGAGTACCTGCCTACTAATAAATCAGCAATAATGGTAGATGACTTTGAGGATGTGGAGGATCTTGTAAAATATATACGTCTGTTAGATACGAACGATAAGCTTTACAAACAGTATATATCATTCAAGGATGAATCCATCGAAAAGAATAAGTTAAAACAAATACTTCAGTCAAGAGACTGGTCCCCTGAGTTTTGTAGTAAATCCTCTAAAAATTCTATGGGCCAGATAAAAACTCAATATAACTCAATTTTCACGGGATATGAGTGTTTTATTTGCAACAAAGTTCATGAATATATCAAAACAGACAGTAAGATAGTATTTCAAGTTAACTCAAGTGATTACAGCTGTCCGTCACCTAGACGTTTTGACGAAAGCGGTCGATACAGTGTGCACACGGACATGTGGGCAGCAGAATGGCAGTATGGTAAACATGAGGCCAAAGCCATGAGTCTTTTATATGAACGTGGTAAAACTATGACACAAAGAGAGTTCAGCAAATTTGTTAAAGATACAATGAACAATGATGATATATAAGCATGTCAATACCAAAATCTATTTGATATATTTAACAGTCGATAGCATTGTTATTCTCAAGTTATTACAATTGAAGATTGTAATAAAGTATAAGCAATATAAGACTCCGACAATTATCAATACTTAGTATTAACAAATGTACAAATTCGATTATAAATCTGAAAAATCACTGGTTTTTTGTTGCTGTTATTAGCTCACCTGAGCATATGCTCAGGGTGAGCTATTAGGATCACTCTTCGTCCGACGTCTGTCGTCCGTTCACACTTTTAAAACGACATCTCCTCTGAAACCATAAGGCAGATCATAATGAAACTTCACAGGGATGTTCCTTGTGTGAAGCCTTAACAAAGTTGTTCAAAGAATTTAATATCATGCAGAACTCTGGTTGCCATGGCAACCAAAAGAAAAAACTTTAAATTTCTTCCTCTAAAAAAACCCAAAAAGCTAGAGCTAAGATATTTAGCATGAAACATCTTCTAGTGAGTGTCTACTAAGTTTGTTCAAATAAAAGCCCTAGGGTCAAATTTGGCCCCGCCCCAGGGGGTCATTGATTTTCCCTATATGTATATAGTAAAAACTTAAAAAATCTACTTAAAAAAACCCAAAAGAGCTAGAGCTAAGATATTTAGCATGAAACATCTTCTAATGGGTGTCTACCAAGTTTGTTCAAATAAAAGCCCCGGGGTCAAAATTGGCCCCGCCCCAGGGGGTCATTGATTTTTCCTATATGCATATAGTAAAAACTTAAAAATCTTCTTTTAAAGAACCCAAAGAGCTAGAGCTAAGATATTGAGCATGAAACATGTTCTAATGGATGTCTACCAAGTTTGTTCAAATAAGAGCCCTTGGGTCAAAATTGGCCCCGCCCCGGGGGACATTGATTTTCCTTATATGTGTATAGCAAAGACTTTAAAATCTTCTTCGAAAAAACCCGAATAGCTAGAGTTTAGATATTAAGCATGAAACATCTTCTAGTAAGTGTCTACAAAGATTGTTCAAATAAAAGCCCTTGGGTCAAAACTGGCCCTGCCCCAGGGGTGTCATTGTTTTTAAATATAATTATATATACAGGTGAGCGACTTCAGGGCCATCATGGCCCTGTTATTTTTGTTGTTTGGGTTGAATATCAAGATTACGTTACCAAGTGCTTGAGATTGTTAACTTTAAGTCACTAGCACATAACCGCTGTAAATTAAAATTCCGAAACGGACTTCATATTATTTCGCATGTGATACTAAAATCCAGTTGGTTTAACCAAGGTGGTCCCCGTGCATAGACGTCTACGTCTACAAGTGAAGTCGCCATCTGACATTTACTGTGTCGGCGGACAGGCTCGTTCAAACCAAACTTGGAACCTTTTTACTATTGCCGTTTTTGACGTTCTTTTGAGAGTCCGTTTTTCTCTTGTTCTTTTGTATAGAAGCAATTAACTAACCGGCTTATAAACTTGATTCATTTCACTGCTTTTGTTAATTATAACGTGAAAATAAGGCGTATACGAGTGTTCATAAAACAATGCTTGAGAGAATTCCGTATATGAGAATATGGTTAAAGAAAAGGACACCGTCAACCACTGAACAACGTATTTGTTTGTTTATTTAATTGGGTTTTACGTCACACCGGCACATTAAGCGTCGTATGGCGAAGTTCGAGCTTTACTGGTGGAGGAAGACCTCACCTCCGGTGCCCTTCCGTGCCTTATTTCATGCACGAATGGGCACCTGAGTAGAACCATCGATGTTTCGTAAGCTAGCTGTATAGCTTCCTCACAATGAACGATGTATGATGGTATTTCTGAAGGATTAAACTACATCAGAAATAAGTTCTCTAACAGCATTATCATGTGATTTCCATTTACAAATGTATTTTGTTTGCGTGTTAAATGTCTGAAATAATGTTTGCTTAAAACTTTACATGAATATTCCTCTAAAGTAATCGTTACATTAAATTTATTCATGATCGCCAACACTCCGAGAATTTCCTTTTTGCAAACTGACACATTTAACTAGATCCTCGAATCCAAAAGTAATGATCGTATTTTGATTACCAATTCAAACTTACCAATTGTTTGAAGAAATCAGAGAATTTTCAGACGGAGTAACATCAGGCGAGTTTAATTGTCATTTCTTGAATATGTAGTAACAGACTGTTACAACTTGACGACAATGCCCTTAAATGGCTGAGGAATACTAAATCATAAAAGATGTCAGAGTATTCTTTGCAAAGTCATTTTTGTTTTTCAAACATTAAACATAATAGGCCCACTTAAACCCCGAAATGCTATCATTTTTATTTCTCAAAAAGTTTTTTTTGTTTAAGGTAACTTATTACAGTTTAAAAAATGATTATTGACCATATAGATCAACTATCCTTTACAACACATTACTGCACATTTAGCGGTTCTAAAGCTGTTTAACATATTCCTTATCAAAATATCAAATTCATTAAGTACTGAGGCATAATTTGCCTTTAAAACATTACATAGATTTGCAAAAGTGATTGACCGAGTTTTAGGTATAGTGCAATTGTGCCTCTTCACTAAATGTCGGTGAAAGCGAGTAATTTATTAACCCTTAAAACGACTTAAACATGTTTTTAGAGGTACACTTTTAACTTCTCACACATTGAAAATATTGTCTGATATATAGCAGCATGTTTAAAAAAATGTAATACGTTTTCTTAATTCCTGGGCTGATAAACAATATCTGAACTCATTTACCAAAATAATTAATGTAGCGATCTATGAACATCATCATCTTTATATCTTTATTATTATTTTTGTTGTTGTTGTTGTAATCTGTTGACCACATCGAGCGTCAAATTTTTAGCAAATGAATTAAATGGTGAATTTGTAAATGTTATTTTAATTACAGTCAATTAAAGTATTCTGAACATTAAGTACTCTGAAAAAGCACGTTGGGTACAAAACGTTTAAAAATATAAAACATAATTATGGACTTAGAGCATGTTACATGTTTAAATACTGACAAAAGGAGCGCTGAATTTGCAGTTATGTGTCCTAAAGGTACATCAATGTAAACAAAGTCACTATAATTATAGCAACTGTCAGCAAAGCAAAAGAAGCAAAGATATTTCATCTATATGGCAAATGAGTAATTTTTGGAACCTGACACAAGATACCAAAAATGAAGAAAAGTTTTTTAAGAAATAAAAATGATTGCATTTCTGGGACAAAATTGTTTTTTAAAGCCATCAGGTCAATACATGGTTATCCATTTCTAGAATATCCAAAAGCTTCAGCGTGTCCTATTTTTACAGTTAAGATGCTATTGAAACTTCGAAAACTAAAGGTACCCCGACACACTTTAATGCATTCGCCTCCAAAAGATATCAGAAAATCTAATATCTCACACTTTCTTTTAAAAAGCATAAAATTGTTGAATGATATAGAAAATGGTCTGTTTCAGAAGCAGAAAATGCTAAAATATGAACGTTTTAAAATCATCATCGGCCATCTTGGCTTGTACATGTACCACTTGATTGTACAGAACAATATCAGTGCCCGCGATCCGGAACGCTCGGGATCCATGATTGTAATAAACATAAAGGTAAACTTATAAACTGCTAGTTTTTTTTATATATTTGTCATAATCTATGACACTTAAAAGTAATAACTAATTAATTATATCACATGTATTTAATGAACAGTATATCGATTACAGCTTTTCCCAAATGACATAATAAAGCGACATATTGGGACTTTGTTGACTTCGCCATTTTGTTTGTTTATGTTATGATGTTAAATGTAAAATTCAAAATTATGTCATTATTCATTTTTTTCCATTTGTTTGATTCGGGTCAGTTGGAAAAATAGTAAAAAAAATGTATCACAAAAAGAAATACTCTAAATACTTGGGGTATGTCATTTGTTACTTTCTCGCCTAATAACCCAGGTGTGTTGTCGGCTAACCCCGCCTGCTGGCTCGTAGTACATGTATCTATTTAAACCTTCCGCACAGAAACGAGGACCTGAATAATACACAAAAAAAGCTTTTAGTTATATATAAAGTCACCATATATCACAGATGCAATTTATACACTTTAACAGAGTCAATCAAACCGAGCCTGCAACATTTTCAATTTTGCCGTGTTGGGCTTTCTTTATTTTAAAATTCCCCATTGGTTTTCTCGTTACACACGTTTGTACGAACATTCAGGGCCAGCGCCGACGCTGGTTTCAAATGGTAAAATAAGGTAAACTTATATCTGCTAGTTTTTCCAATTTGATAACTATGACCTAAAACAATCTAATTAATTAATATCACATTTTTAATAAATATATCATGCTTTTAAATGCTATAAATCGACATATTAACATCATGCCATTTTAGGTCGGGAAATAGTAAAGGTTACAAAAATACTCTAATACTGGGTATTCTGTTTTCTTTCAGCCTAATAAACCGAGGCTGTCAAGGCTAACACACCTCTGTTAGCTCCGCAAGAAACGGGACTTGAATAATATAAAATCAGCTTTTATTATTTAATCAAATAACATGATCAATTTAAACTTAAATAGATCAATTAGTGACTTTAAATGAAGCACTTCAAAAATTTTAAAGAACTGTGTTCTTGACCAAACCGGATTGGATTCCGTTCCTGGATGTGACCATTACTAACCATTACTAACACGGATACAGGGGTCACTGAATCCTGGAATTTTCCCCAATTACTGGTGGGATAATTGGCCCATGTTAAATAAATTATCTTTTCTATTTATATCGCCTACTACATTAGTAACTTTGCAAAGAAGAAACACATTTTATTTACGTTTTTGACAACTTTCTTGAAATAAGAAGGCAATACTAATATGATTATAGATTAAACCTTACTACAAAAATATTTACTGTCTACTCAATTTGTTTTCATTTTATCATCTGGAGGCGAGCGAGCGGCTTTAAAGTGTTTGTAAATGTCATTATTATTATAGGAAAACTACTATCTTTATTTGTTTGGGTCGTCTGACCAAATAAATAAAGGTAGCTGATGTGCTCATTTGCAAAAACCGAAAGTAGTCAAAACTCCTCGAAGCGGTACCTCCCTTCATATGTACACTAACGCCGAAAAGTTAAGGGGAGGTCACTGCGTAAAGATTTTCAAATGAAAGGCGTATTACTTTTCAATCTTTCTCGGGGGGAAAATAGTTCGATTTCTACTATTGTGTTATTCTTTATAGATATACATGCTTATATTAAGCTCCATGATCAGTGTTAAACAACAGCACAAAATATATCAAATTAATAAGGGTTACAAATCCTAATTTAGAATAATGTGGTTTTCTTCAGGCCGTTCACATATAACTTTACCGTGGTCAAGGGGTTTACATGCTCGCTTAGGGAGCGAGAAGTCTGGAGTTCAAATCCTAGTTAAGGCAACTCATTTGTTTAATTGTTTAAGTCAAATAAACATTGAATTGCAATTAGTCTTATAGCCAATTTACTACAGTTAAAACACTGGAATTAGCATTGGTGGCACTATACAAAAACAATTGGTTTATAATCTCACAACCTTCACCTTTCTGGCATTCTGAGACCCAAACAAATTCAGCGCTTTCTGTGCTTTGATTATAATATTATCAGACTTGCCGTTCTTATATAATCTTTTATCACTATCCTTATGTTTAATGATGTTTTATCTGATAATCCTGCTCTAGATAAAAAAGGCAATTGAAAATGTCATCACGCTATTTAACATAATACTGTATAGGTACACCCCTGGTGGGTCCTCGGATGGGAAGCGTATATATATGTAGATCTTTAGGTACTGCTTTCGTCACTTATCTGCAATCATTAGGAGTGGAAGCTACATCCGAACAGAACTATAAGATGAGGCTTTTACTTTTATTGTTAGCCGTTTATCTGCACAAAGGTAAATGTAATCTTATTTCCAATCATTTTTACATATTCTAATGACAACTGAATCGTAACGCACCACTAATTTTATTTAAACATTCAAATTCTGTTTTACTGCTGTAACAAAAATTGAAAATTTGGGTTATTGATATATGAACTCTATCAGTAGTACATGACTTATTGCATGTCGATTAAAAAAAGGTGTAGTTGTAACGACTTACTACGTAATGCTAATGCACGTTGCTTTGTTAGTGAACATGTACTGAATGTTATAATCTTTATTATTGATTGTTATATGTCTCTTTATATGGCTATTGAAGGCCTTGTTAAAAATAAGATTTTGCATTATATCTGTTATTTTTGATGTATTGTCCTAGTAAGATACAATCGTTAAAATAAATTATTGTTATTATCGTTATCATTACTATTATTTTTATTATTATTATTATTATTATTATTATTATTATTATTATTATTATTATTATTACACATGGGTATGTAATCTTTATGTGATTCTTTTTCTAATATCTACTTATGCATTTTCATCACCAGCATCAACAATAACATCAACATCATCACACACTGCAACAGCTAACACGGATCATACCACAACAACACAAACAACAAGACTTGTAACAAAGGAACCAAGTACAACAAGTTCAACCATCTCTACAACACCATCAACAACCACAAAAACAACAACAGCATCACCACACTCTTCAACAGCTAACACGGTTCCTACCACAACAGCACAATCAACAAAACTTGTAACAAAGCCAAGTACAGCCGAATTGACATCATCAACAACCACAAAAACAACAACACCAGCAACAATTGAAACCCCAACAGTGGCAGTAACAACATCATCAGATTTATCAACAAGTTCATCTCACAGTTCCGTATCCACGAGAGTAACCAGTAGTGCTGAATCTTCAGGGTCAACAGACACATCTATAACCACGGTAACAATTTTCTTTCTGTTTATGAAAAATGCAGAACATTTTGAATATGAGTTTATTCAATACTTTGTTTTCAACTTTCTCAATCGGTAAAAATCAACAATCAATTTCGCATTGCAAAATAAAACAAAAGGCTATTTAATTCCCTTCTTATTATTCCTGTTTCAATTTAAAATTGCATTTGACCATACAGAAAGGAATGCTGCAGTTTTTTTAGTTAAACAGAGTAGTCAACTTTATTCAGTAATTTTCTGCCATATACAATACCTCATGTCAAAATAAGATTTAAAGAAAACACATAAACATACTAAAAGTGCATGTGAGGTAGAATATGAATTTGAATGTTATTTTGCCAAAAGCCTTTTTTTAAATATAGGAATGAAATTAAAACTTATCTTTTTAGTATTTAAAAGTATCTAATTCCGATAATTGCACAATGTCTTGCAAAATATTTGCCAACTGATTAATTAATTGATTGATCGATTGATCGCTCGCTCGATTGATTAATTGATTGATTTCGTAACATTATTTTATGTTAGCGTTTTACATTCAATACCTTAAATTATATATTACAGCTAGAATATCTAGAACAGTGCTGTTTATTTATTTTGCGGTTGTAAGTCATGTTTGTTTGCTTTTTTCAGGCGAAGAGTAACGCTGTGTCAACAAGATTTGGATTAGCAGCAATTTCCTTGCCATGCATTTTTCATATCTTGTTTTTGAAGCTGTCTTAGAGATACGGAACAGCAACTATGTTCAATATAACTATTTACAATGCGACAACGCTGTTTACTTAAACGATGGTCACCACAAATGAAGCTATATGTGATGCTGAACATGTGTATGACTGCGTTTTATACGTTGTACGAGTATATTGTAAATCTGTAACATTTTGTCTTAAATTGAGAAATATCTTATTTTTTGTTTTGATTTCTTTTTAGCCAGATAAAAGATTATTATCTAGAGTTTCTAGAATGTTCTAACTGATGCCGAGTATAGGTTAAAGTTTATTAGTACGTATTTACAAAATAAAATTGGTCAGGCGCCTCACAGCCGCGCGACGAATCTTATTAATTTTGTAAATACGTAGTAATAAATATTAACCAGCTTAATGTTTTAATATTTTTATAAACAGTTGATTAACTAGACTGATTTACAGTTTGCCGATTCACCAAAGTAAATATGTTATGATTCATTTGAAATACTGCAATCCTACTGGACAAAAAATAATTTCAAACACTAAGCAAGTAATGTAAAAGTAAAATAAAATAAAGAAGAAGGGGAGGTGGAGGTGATGCGACGTGCGTGAAGTGACGTAACATGAAGTGAAGTGATGTGAAGTGAAGTGAAGTAAAATAACATGTGTATAAGAATTTACTAATAGTAAATTATTTAACATTACTCCCGGTTATGAACCGTTATCACTTTAAACATATATACATTGAAAATAGTTCGTATATACAGTGGAGACTGTCTTCAGTGACCTTTCATTTGAGAGATTAATAAAGGTCACTTGACACAGGGGGTCACTAGACACAATCCCTTATGTTTTGTCAATAGATAAGTTTCTTTTCATGTAATCAATGATTGTATAATAAGAATAGAAGTTCATTACAACTTGATAATGTATTTGACCTAACAGAATTAAATTAAAACAATATATATGAAAACGTTCTTGACCGTGTTATTTTTCAAATTTAAAATGATTAAAAGAACTAGCCATGATTTATGTGTCCCCTCTACAGAATAGTGATAGTATATGGGGAACACTTCTCCATCTGTCCGTCATAAAACTTGTCCAGACTACTCCCTCAGAAACTACTGGTGCAATTTCATCCAAATTTTACAGGAATGATCAGTACATACCCTTGGTGTGCATATTTTCGTCATTTTTGTCATGATTTTAGTTACGGCCCTTTAATGATTTTTATTTGAAAGTTTCTAGGGACTACTCCTCTAGTATATTTTGAAAATATTGATAGAACCGGTCGGGTGGGGATTGCGTTCATTGAACGCCGCCTTTCCTTGTTGATCTTGTTTATCATATGTGTCTTTAATTTCTTACCCAAAAGTCAAATATCTCGTGAACACCAAAAGTTCATATATCACATCATATATATTGACAGTTTTGTTTAGTCTACTTCTCCAAGACTTCTAACGCAATTTACATGAAACATTACATAATTGATAGGTATCTCAAGTATATGAATTTTCCGGTTGAATGATTTTTGGCTGAGTTATGGCCCTTGATTAAGAAATTATGATTTTTCTGTCTCTTGCTACACAGTTGCTGCAACATGCAATTGGCTAACGGGAGGCGACACATACGATCACTGTTCGGTCTTCTTATTTCATACAAATCAGCATAAAGAGAATAGTGATTAAAAAAGTTTAGGATTCAAATATTGATAGAACCGGTCGGGTGGGGGTTGCGTTGATTGAACGCCGCCTTTCCTTGTTGATCTTGTTTATCATTTGTGTCTTTAATTTCTTATACCCCGGTCACATATTCACGGAATACGCCCACGGAAGAGCCACGGATTAATTCCGGCATCGTCCGTAGCTACCCGTACTGATCAGTAGCTCTCCGTACTGTAACCGTAATCAAACGTAGTTGTCCTCGTATATCCGTAGCGATCCTTGACAATTTTTGAACATGCACAAAAATTTGCTACGGAAAAATCAACCGTAGCGTATCCCTGCTAGTCCGTATTAAACCGTAATGATACGTACTGGTCTGTTCGAAAACCGTACTAGTCCGTACTGATTCGTAGTCCACCAACTTGCCAAGGATTTCCACGGTTTGGTACGGAGAACTACGTATTTGTACGATTACCCTACGTATAAGTAATAGAAAGAGCACCGAAACACGAGGTTATCTGATTTGTACGAGGGGGCGTAGTCCCCCGAGTATTAATCAGATTACCGAGTGTTTTGGTGTTCTTTCTCTTTTGTATCATAGTCAAACATAAAAACACGTTCCCTGTTGTTACGATATGAAACCCCGGCAAAAATGAACCAATGAACGAGCATCTAAATATGACATTTCTGTCGATTTCACTTTCACTGCCGTCACAATATGTAAACCCCAGCAAAAATGAGCCAATCAATGGGCATGCTCGGGAGTGCGGGTAACTAATACCCGCACTCGAGTTAACGCACTGTGCATGTATATGTATACGATTTAACCCTGACACATTTTCAACAGAAAGGTCTCCAAACTATGATACAAGCTACGGTTTAAATACGGATTAATACGGCATTGTCACGGAAAGCCACGATCGTAATACGTTGTACTACGGAGAGGCAGGGATTAGCACGGCCTTATACGGTTTATTGCGTTGCAACACGAAACGGTACGGAATGGTCCGGTCCACCACTGTTTAGTACAGATGAATTAAGTATCATGTACTTTTTCAAGGGTATAAATCACGGTAGGGAATCACGTGAATTTTACGGTTACGCGTACAGACAATATGGCGGCCTAAAAACCTCGCTTCACATGTGTTTTTCAGGTAAGTCTTTATTATAAAGATGATTTGGGTAACTCCCACGCATACTTTTATTGTTGATAACTCCCACGCAATATTTTATGTGCAGGCAATATCTATGCAGGTTATAGCCTAGATATTGATTGAAAAAAATCATGATTCATGCATTTAGCATCAAACTTTCATAGAATTTTGAATGATATTAAAAATACCGCCAATAGGTCCTTGATAGAAGTAACCCAACAGGCACATCAACGGTGAACAACGTTGAAGTATGGTCAGATTTCAACGTTGAAATAACGTTAGATTTATGTTCGAATTTGAAAGTTTAAAAAACGTTGAAATTCAACGTTGGCACAACGTTGAAGTTTCAATGTCATTTCAACATACTTTAATTCTAATATAAAGCAAAGTACTGTAACAGAGTTTAACAAAAAAAATCAAGACACTACTAAATACTTCAGCTATTTTATTTCAAAACCACAGTTCAAGTGTAGCTTAAATTCAAACGATTTAAGAAGTCCTTTTTTAGATTAACATTAAGCTACAATCTGTTCCAATCTACCACTAGTACTTCTTCTAGAGCTCTCTGGGTCTGTCTTAAGTGTTTTCATGCTGGTGTTTGAATACTTCTACTGCTTCTGCAAATGAAATAAGAAGTTACTAGTTGACTTGGTCAATCTCAAATTATATATAATTAATCAAACTTAGTGATTTGTTTTATCTTAAAATGCTTATCTTCTAAGATTTACATAATAAAAAAAGCATAGAAATTAAGATACAGCTGAAGTTTCATATTGACAATAAATTATGTACAAAAACAACAAAAACTTTTTAAAAAGAAACTATTTAAGTCTGACCTATGATTGGTAAGAAAAACTGCTCCCATCAGTTACGTCAGCATTTTCCCAAGAACAGTCCTTTCCATGTTAAATTTATGATATAGAAGCTACAGCTTGTAATACTCTTAAATTTCAGCCAGGACCAGGATCTAGAATATAAAATAGACTTATTATCCCCTATAATTCACGGCAATTAAACTTAAAATTTAACACTCATCTTTATTATTTAACCTCAAAAAGTTTAATCAATATTGTTTTGATAATGCAATGGATTTAATGTATTTTTCAAACTAATTCACATTTATTTTAACTATCACTAAGATATAAAATTAATACAGCTAAATTGATGAATCGTCTTGGGACGTAAATTTTTATGGGGCGAACAACACTTCATCTGCTTATAGGTAACAATAATATGATAAATAAATTTCAAAAAGGCATGGCTTGTAAAATCATAAATTGCCAAGGACATCAATAACTTCGCGTAAGGCCTACCAAACCCAAATCATTCAATTAGGTCGCGTTTTGATACAAAAGTCTAAATATTAGAAGGAGGTTTTGTTTTTCTGTTTTTTATTAGTAAAATTACAGTTGTCATTTTTCATATTTTTGCAGATATGGAAGGTTCCATCTCGGATATTGTTTGTGATAAATGTGGGAAAACATTTCATTCACGGATAGGTCTCAAATATTGACCACATGAACAGTCTACACGGCACCGGACCTTACAAATGTTGTGGTAAAAACATTTTATATAGCCCAGCAAATCGGAACGTTACGGGTTTTACTGTTGATATTAAGATGACATTCAAACATAAGTCCTCTAGATTTTATTACCTAGTTTGTAAAATAAAAGACCCATTCTAATATTCTTTAGGTTTTTTTTCTTTTATGCTTTAGATTAAACAAAAACACAAACATAATAATGTTAAATACAGACAACTAATTGGTTACATAAAAAGACTAAGTGATAAAATGACTTGAATGTCTTTAAAATCTTAATATAACGAATAACAGTAAAATGCCATAACCTGTCACGTTTTCGACTTGCCACAACATTTACAAGGTCCTGTGCCGAGTAGCCAGTTTATGTGGTCATTAAGACAAATGTTGTCCAACATTATCCACAAACAATATCCGAGCTGGAACCATCCATATCTGCAAACTATGAAAAATGACAACTGTAATTGTGCTTAAACTGAAATCGACCTCCTTCTTATATTTGAGACTTGTATTTTAATTTCTGCGATTAATTCATCTATATCGAAACTTCATTTAATATATTCACGTGAGTATGTATTCTGCTATCCATAGGGGCTTTATTCTATCCATGACCTTTTGGCGGTATTTTTAATATTATTCAAAATTCTTTGAACGTTTACGGCTAAATGCATCAATCATGATTTTTGTCCAATCAATATCTAGGCTATAAACCTGCATAGATATTGCTTGCCCATGAAATATTGCGTGGGAGTTATCAACAATAAAATTATGCGTGGAGTTACCCAAATCATTTTTCTCTCATGTATTGGAATAGAAAATGACCAGTCAACGTTTAACATGCCTAATATTTACATTTTCAAATAAAGAAATTCTATGAACATTTTCTCTTTGCTAACTCGACGTAGTTTAATCAAATTCATAAAAAATACAAATTTTGCGTGAATGTTACCCGAAATATAATTGTTCACATTGAAAATTCCTGTTGAATTTTTGAGTGTTTGTATAAGCTATGAGCACAGGGGTGGAAACTAAGGTATAGGCGGCAACAATTCTTTATTCCGCGTACTTCAGCTATTTTATTCAATGAACGCAATCCCCACCCGACCGGTTCTTTCAATATTTTCAAAATATACTAGAGGAGTAGTCCCTAGAAACTTTACAAATAAAAATCATTAAAGGGCCGTAACTAAAATCATGACAAAAATGACGAAAATATGCACACCAAGGGTATGTACTGATCATTCCTGTAAAATTTGGATGAAATTGCACCAGTAGTTTCTGGGGAGTAGTCTGGACAAGTTTTATGACGGACAGATGGAGAAGTGTTCCCTATATACTGTCACTATTACATCTCTGGAATTTTGGCAACGAACGCCCTCCATATGTGGAGAGGTCATCAGACCTCTCTACTTAAATCGTAATATTTGTTTATTGAAATGCAATATGCACACAGGTTGTATTTGTATTTGAATTGTATTTGTTGCTTTATAAATAATTATTTCTTTAAAGTTTTTTTTTTCATAAAGTTTCCATCGTTAATTTATTTCATGGTCACATCTAATTTATGTACATTTCATGATGGTTTTTAAACTTACAAAAACACACACGTCGGTCTAAA